AGAAGCTGTTCAAACAGGGCGGGGGGGGAGAGGCCATTGACAAGACGGGCACAGCCATCTAGTCCCCCACATACATACATATATGGCAAAGAGGAGTACGAAATGGTGACCCAACTATAGATATAGGGGTTCACGGCAGAGGTGATAAGAGCGCGTACCGATGGAGTCACACACAGACACACACACACGGAGCGGACGAGCAAAGGCGAACCAAGAACGAACGCACGCGTGCGCAGAACAGATGGATATAATAAGTCCACCGCGCATCAGCCAGGCACTGAGAGCAAGTTTTGACAATGGTGTGTGTGTGTGAGTGAGTGAGAGAAAGAGACCGAGAGACAGAGATGCGGTTCGGAATGAGATCATGTCTGAGCTTTATGCTGTATGGCTGAATGTACCTCTTGGACCAGACGGCGTCTTTTTTCCTCCTCAGACGCAGGAACCAAGGAGCGAAGGGAGTCCACAATATTTTTGGTTGTGCCAAAATACACCTCATTCAATGTGGACCGAATGGAGTTCTCCGCATCCTATAGGTGGAATAAGAAGCGCATTTATCTAGAGAAATTGAGCGCACATACTGAACGACAATTTGTGAACGGAAAAAGCAGCTTGAAAACATCTTTATAAAAATTAAAAACAAATTGCCAAGCAATTTACATCAAACCGAATTGGTGTCTATTATCATTATCATCGTCACAAAACCCCAAGGAACTACATGGAGCATGGTGGAAACGTGTAAGGCAGGTGCGTCAAAGGATTCCGATTCGGTATGTTGCAATAGGTAGCCATATCCAGTGACACTTTCATACGCTTGAAGCGTTGCTCACACAGAAGTAATCAGTGCTTCCATCTGGTTTCACGATGCACCTGTCCCAGCCCAGCAGGAAGTGTTGACCAAGTGAAAGAGGTGACTGAACAAAACGGTAAACAGACTCACACTGTAGCCTTTAAAAAGGTGATCATATAATGAACGACGTGCGTCAAAAATTCAAAGCGGCACTGTGTCGAACGTTTCTTGCCGCACAGCTTCGATTGATACCGTATACCCAAGGACTTTGTTTGGACAATTGAAAACGGAACGAGCCGTACAATGCTGCTTCACATGTCGTCTACTAGTTCACCTACAGTTGCGTTCGTAGAGCGAATCTGCCCCTGTCACAGCGGATGTCTCAACACATTCCCAAGTGGTTGGTATAATCGATGACGCAACAAAGTCTTAGAGGTCAAATCTAGGGTCATCAATCGCAAAACATTTCATGATAACTGGACACATCGTTGACCAACAATTGTCGTTTAAGCCATTATTACGTGACATGAACCCCAGGATTCTGGCGTTTAACGAGGCGATGCTAATCAAGTTACGTAACCCAATCCTGTGCGCACAAAAGTTTCCTACACAATCAGTCAAACTGCGGTGAAACTGATTTCCCACCCCACCCTCTCCTCAGCTTCCCTGACTATTGTCCGTTGAACCACTGAAGTTACCAAAACTTGCTTGTACAAATACCAGATTGATTTACATTGTAGCGACTGAGGAGAAAGAAAAGAAATGTGAACATCTGGCATTATTGGTCCTCTTTCGATTCTAACGAAAACGGTAAACAATCGATGAAATATGTGATCCAGACAGGGAAAAAAATGACGAACTTGTTGGATTAGAAACATTCTGTTAGGACCGAAATGGACCCGCCCATAACCGGAACGATCAAAACAGTCGAGAGATCATAATCCCTCGAAGCGCAATCAGTGATTTTACCCGAGTGCTAAGAGGAACTCTATAAACCGTAGTTGTCAGTAAACCAGTTACAGTATACATCCACATTTTATACGCGCCTCGGACTCGTATACTGCTATGTACATAATCACACGCAAAAAACAAGCGCCCCGAAACAGCTGACTAATGCTGTGCTCTCGTGGGTGTGCGTACGTTCAGGTCGCACAGCACCCCAAGCCATTGGCAACACTTTTTATCGTTTGATCGTATCGATCAGCACCGTCATCGATTTGTCACCTCATTGAACAGCATTTTCACGGTGCCACAGAAAGTACGACTACGTTAAAAGCGCTCACCGTTCGTGCTCAGAAATACCGGGATTATTTCCTACATTCTACATGAACGATATTAAGTTATCCCGGAAGAATACTATATGAGAATTCATCCTCCGACATGTTCCCCGTGAATGAGAACATATCTATATAGTGAAACTTCTTCAGATAAATGATTTGAGAATTCAGCAGCTGAGGGGGTGGAATTAACCAAATCAGACCACGCGGTGACATACAATCGCACATCATCATCATCGGACAGCAAGATACAGTGAAGCAAAGAATTTCACGGATCGCTGCCAAGCTCACAATGTACACAAATCAAGTGATAAAGCAAAAGATGGAGAGGGATTGGGCCTAATTAGAGAGAGGCAAAGGAAAAGAACCTCTATGTTCAACACAGAGTACACAATCTAAGTGTTCATGCATACCTTTTCAAGCATTCGGACCTGATAAGAAACGACAACAAGAACGCAACTGCTGTCGGTTCGCCGCCACATCCTTCAGCGTCTCCAGTCAGCCAGTTGTAGTCTTTCGGACTCTAACCTGGAAGACGGGAGACAACGATTCTACCTAATGGCGGTGCATTTCTTCATGCCTCGCTTCCATGTCATCTGCTGACCTCCATGCGGTTTCTTCCAACTTGGAGCCGCAACTGTGAATAAGACGCGGTGCGGTAGACGATGGTTGGGCACGCGCAATACGTGTCCTTACCAGCGAAGCCGATTAATCTGAATTCGATGGGACAAAGAATTCTCCATCGAATCATTACCAAATACGCGACGACTTATCTCAGAGTTGCTCACTCCATCCGACTCGCGACAAACTACGTAAACATCTGCAATCGAATACTTCTAGACGACGAATATCATCCACGCGCAAATTTATGGCTCGCAACCGTACAGCAGAGCTGGCCGCACCATGGTGCAGTATACACGACCTTTCAGTTTTAACGAAACATCGCGTCTGCACCAGAGATGTTTCAGTCCTGCGTAAGCTGTCGAGCCTTGGAAATGCGAGTGGTCACTTCATTGACAATGCTACCGTCATTTGACGCAATTCGAGCACTTGATGCAGAGTGAAGATTTGGTCGATGCAACCGAGACCTGGTCGGAATCCGGCTTGATGTTTGTGGGTATTCAACTTCTTTAAGGGTGCCAGGCGGCGAAGTATCACAGAAGTTAACACTTCTGTGATTATCGGAACCTAACTAATCCCACAGTGGTAAGTGCAGTGGTCGCGCGATCCCTTCTTGAAGATCGGGACGATCAACGTTTAACCCCAGGACAAAGGGATACGCCCCTTGGACCAAATGATGCGAAGTAAGCTAGTAATTGAGTCGATAAGAGAATCGCAACCCACCTTAAAAATAATAAGGAAAAGCCTATCAGGTACGGCAGCCTTCCCTTTCTTGAATGACCGAATGCAGCTTCTTACTTCTAATTCCGATGGGGGCTCACATGTACCAACCCACACGGTTTCCGCGGTAATTGCTGGAATGAGCGCATTAGCACTGGGCCAGCTGAACTGTTCACCAAGATACTCTGCCCAGCAATCAAGTCGTTCTTCTCCATTGTGGATAATCTGTCTACTTTTATCGCTAATAATCTGACTCACCGATATGTGACAACCTCCGGTACTGCGTATTAGATGAAATAGTCTTTGATTATTCCCTGATGCAGAAGCTACCTCCATTTCAATAGCTATTTCGGCCCACCAGTTTTGCGCGAACTTTCATAGGGCTCTTCCTGCAGACGCCACCGGTCCCTATGCTAATCCTGGCTCTTGATCCATCAGGATTACTGACTCCTGAGATACCCAATGTCTTAGGCGAACTTCGAGCTCAGATCTCTAAGTAAAGTTTGCTGCTGAGTCCATCGCAAATCTAATTTGGTCCCACTGTTGGTATACTCCACTATGTCGATCAATACCGGAGTGGAAACTTCGGCGGGTCAGTAAGCTGCAAAGATGGGAAATAACTGTAGCTCCCTTTATCACGCCTTTGACCTATCCATCAAATCCCACGGATTGATCCATGCTATGAATTCCTTCGATTTTTGCCTCCGGTTTCCAGATCACTATGCCTAGCAGTCCCGAACGTATATAAAAACGGAGGAGATGGTTCTTTGAGCATTGTCCAACTATCACAACCGACCGACGAAGGGGGGTGGGTTACCGGTGCTAGTGGGCATTATTTTGTACTATGCCTGTGATCGGGAAATGGACGTCTACGAAAGTCGCCGAGGCAATGGCTTATCAACATTCGGACCGATCCTGTGTCTTGTGTTTTCCCGCCTTGTGATATCGCCATCCTCGGGCGTCTAAGTTGCGAGCTCGGTCGTTTGTGCAAAGTATCCAATTGCGCCATGTTTTAAATTGTACTGAGTAGATTATCCGCCGGGACTTGTGCATGTATCTGTTTTGCAGTATGCTTATCGTCTGTGTTAGCGTGCTGCACGAATATTGGCGAGGGGAGGGGGTTGGGATTCGTATCCACGAGCGGGAATACTCGATGGATTAGACAAACAATGGCTTGAAGTTACGTTGTTGTTGTTGTTAGCACACTGATTGTGTGGGTCCATTGTTTGGATTAGTTAGTAGTTTTTGGGGTGTCCCTGTGTAAGCACTTCTTTTGATAAATCCATTCGTAGAAGCTAAAGGTTTGGGCAGTTCGTAAGTATAGCGAGTTAGGATTTCCTTTCTCGATTTGCCGAAATGGTGCACCTGACTGACCACGTGTATGGAAACGCGTGGTTGATTCACGACATTTAACCACAGAGTTAGAGTGCACAGAACCTTATCTGCGTCACTCCAAAAGCCTCAGTTTGGTCGGGGGTGGGTGTCTAGGCTTGTAGCTGGTCACCCTTCCATTGCACCTAGCCAAATGCTCTTATGAGGAAGTCCTACTCATCGCCTTCTCGTGGTGGAGGTGTTTTCCCACCAAAGTGAGAGGACCAAAAACCGACATCCGGGGCTATAACCGGGTCGGTAAATCACTGGCATTTCACCTAGCGGAGTCGGCCAAAAACCCTGATTCTAAACCAACCAAGAGGTCGTGACAGCCTTTGAATTTGGCCGTGCCTTGTTTTCGTGGAATATTATTTTCGTAAAGTTACGTGGAGGAACTCATTAACATTACTTTTG